TTGAATAAAATTAAACCAACAAGGGTCAAATTACTATCATTCCAAACTAAAGCTAATCGACGACGTATATCAAATCGACTATGTGAATTACAATACGCACAATCAATAGCAAATGAATCCAAGTCAAACAATATTAACAGGTGGTTCAAATTGCACTGACAAAACAAAGTTAAACCCGAAACTAATTAATCGACCAAATTCATTTTCAGTCGATTGTATAGTTTACACACATACACCCAGTCAGTAAAAACAGAGAAAAACTTGACCAAATAAAAGGTCCGGGCAAGGTGGACAGAACAGTCGACACAAAACAAATCCACTACCATTTAAACACATGAACAAACATTAACAAAACAAACAATATGAACTGGCAAGGAAAGGAAAAGGAAAATACCTTAAAGAGCTGAAAATCAAACGACCATGTTTCGGATTTTGAATCGAACCTCTTTTGGGGTTGAACGGACTTTAATCGAAGTGTTCTCAACCGAGCACACTTCGATTAAGGTCTATTAGACCCCAACCTTTTCATTTAATTGGACAAAAACTTGGATTCAGGACTTCTAGGGTTCCTAGGGCAGATTTGGGATTGAGGTTTTTCTGGTTAGATTCGGACCAAACCAAGCCTGGTTTGGTCATAAGGGAGGTCAGGGGAGTGCCTGACATGGATTTGGGAGGGTTTGGCATGGGTTGGGGTCTGGCTCGAATCTTCAAATGAAGATTCGAGACGGTGGGGGAAGATTCGAGACCTACGGTTAGTAGATCTGTGTTTAGGGGGTCGAGGTGGCCTAGGGGTGTTAATCTGGTGGTCACCGACATTGTTGCCGCCGGGTTTATGGTGAGGGAACGGAAGGGCAGAATTAGGGTTCTTGAGGGTGTTTGGGGGAAAGAGACGATGGTGGGGGAGGGGGGTCTGGCTTAGGGGGCGTGGGGTATGATGAAGGGTTTATATATGGGATGTGGAAATTAACTTGAGCCGTTAGATCAAATGATCTCAACGGCTTGGATTAATTGGTAATGGGCAGGACAGGGTCGTTTGGTGTAGAAACGGGGTCGTTTGGTTTTAATGAGGATTGGGTCGAGGATGGTGCTGGGTCGGGTTGACTGAGATAGGTTAGGGTATGTGATCTTGGCCGTTGATCATTCTGAGATCAACGGCCCAGATCAAGCAAGATCAAAACGGAGGTCAGCTGATCTGGACCGGGCAAGACACATGTTTTGGGCTCGATTTGGGTCCAATTTGAACGGCCCAATTCCAATTTCAATCTCATTTCTTTTCTTTTTCTAATTAAGATCCGATTTTACAAAACAAAATCCTAAAATTAAAATTATATCACAAGACATTAATTGTTTTTTTAGTAACAATTAACACACACTATCATATATTAATTAAACAAAAATCAACCTTTAAACGATAGAATGGCAAAATTTACCAACGATAATATTTTTTGTGATTTTTTATTCATTCAAAAACCAAATACGATTTAATTAATTCATAATAGTAGAATAAGATCCTAAATTTACACGCAACAATATTTTTGTATTTTTAATTGATAAAACTAAACAATCATGGACAAAACTACAAATAACTACCAAAAGATGCCACGCAAATCCTAAAAATTTGTACAACAAGACCATTTATTTTATTTTTCGATTTCTTTTGGAGTAATTGTCGTGTAAACAAAAATTACGTGCTCACAGCTATGGAACTCCGTACGTTGAGACTTTGAGTAAAAGCTTGGACAACCCAATCGTCGGTGACCTGTGGCAAATCCATTCGTTCAATTTGGAATCGAGATATAAATTCCCTGAGAATCTCGTTGTCTTTCTGCCTTACCTTGAAAAGGTCCGACTTTCTTGTAGTGACCTTAATAGCTCCGACGTGTGCCTTTACAAAAGAATCTGCAAGAATAGCAAACGAGTCAATAGAATTTGGTGGTAAATTATGCTACCATATCATAGCACCCTTCGATAGAGTCTCCCCGAATTTCTTCAACAATACAAATTCAATCTCGGCATCTTCCAAGTCATTTCCCTTGATGGCACCACATGTATGAGGTGACGTGCTCATTTGGATCTGTCATCCCGCTATATTTCGGAATCTCGGGCATACGGAACTTCTTGGGGATTGGCTTCGGAGCCGCAGTCGGGGGGAAAGGTTTTTGTACAAACCTTTTGGAATCTAGTCCTTTCAATATCGGTGGTGCCCCCGGGATTTAGTCGACCCTGGAGTTATATCTTCTTTTTCCCTATCTCGATTCGCTTTGTCAGTTCTTCGAACATCTTTATGATAGCAGGATTGGTCTCCGATTCTCCTCCATTCAATCTCTTTGGCACCTATTCGGCCCTATGAACAATTTCATGTGATGGCTCGAGCTCGATCCTAGTTGGTGCACGGTTTTGGAGTTGTGTTATTGCAGCTTGTTGAGCCTCCAACATTTCGAATATTACTCGAAGGCTGATCCCGCCTTCTTCACCGCCCTGTGCGTTCTGATCAGCTAGTCGAACATCTTAACGGACACTACTTTCAGGATCGACAGCCAAATTTCCATTAATGGCAATATGAGAACCGACGTCGATTGGGTCCATGGTCGGGGCTCCATCGAGGTTGACTAGTGGTACTCCATTTCCTGGGGCGGCTATGTTGTCGTTCTCGACATGGAAAGTAAGGCCATTGTCTGTGTGTGCGGGTGCTGCTTGAGAGTTTAACATGTTGATCCTGGAATGAAAGACACTTCAAAGAACAAGCGTAAAATAGTGTGTTACGAAAATTGTACCAGGCAGTCACTATTATCCTTGGCCCCACGGTGGGCGCCAAACCATTTACCCTTAAAATTGGATAACAATTAAATTTATAAGTGATTTTAAGGATATGTGATTTCACTTGGCACAAACTGAGGAATTTGAGAATTAATGTTAGAAATTAACTGTAAAATAAAGCAAACAATACAATGAGCGGTTATGGCCCTCGAGCTAGATTGTCCTCGAACCAACTGAGTATGCTATTGAAAAGTATGAACTGAACAACAAAGCTTAAGAAATAAAATGTAATGTATTGCTTTGTTATGCATGAATATGATGATTACAAATGATTAGAACTCCCTTTATATAGTAGAGAAATTCTACTTATAGTACAATTCTAACTACGGAAGGAGATCCCATGATTAGCTAAATAACCGGTCCTGACTCGATACGAGTCGAGAGTTCTGCGACGATTCTTGCTCGATCACGGATATCTCGACTTTCTGTTATTCGACTTAGCAGGCATCCTTCGATCTCGCTCGATCTCTTTCCCGTGTCGATCTCGATCTTGATCGGTCATTGATTCACGAGCTTAGCAATCCATCTTCGTACCATGGTTCGATACAATGTGAGGCCGAGCCTTGATTTGCCACCCCGATTTCGGTTAATCATACAAAACTAACGCAACTCGATTTTAACCGTATACACAGATGAATTTCTTTTGGTCAGATTTTAGCCGTACGGACTCAAATCTGGTAGTGCTACTTGTAAAAGCTTTTGCAACAACACAGTTTGCTTGTTGTTTCAGACATTGGTGTTTATTATGCTTGTGATCATAACTTTAGCTTCAACAGTGATCAATGACAAGCTGGTGACTTATAACCACTAAAGGGTGTTTCTTCAAGTTTGTAATATATAGGAGTAGCATTCAATAGTAATTCTTTAGTGCTGATTAGATTTATTTATAAATATCTCAAAACGAGGTCAATTGATTTTATGGCTTTTTATAAACTTATTTTTAATTTTATAACTCTACCTTTTTTTTACACATGAAAAATTTATTTTTACGCGTAAAAGATCTATTTTTTTACACATAAAAGATTTAAAATAATTATTTTATTAATTTTAAAATTGTAAAGGGGCATAATGTAAGATAACACCTCAAAAGGGAAGACAAAATCAAGAAGAATTAATATGAGTACACAACAATAACTGTGCTACAATCTCAAACAAATTCAAATTGACTAGATAAATCATCACTAATTATATTTTCTATTTAGACTATCTCTCAACATTATACTCAAGAAAAGTTGGAAATAAAGTTTTGTGTAATTTATCAAATATTGTATTCATCCTTTTTCTTAGCCCAGTTTCTGGTATCCCTCCTAAAGAGATACTAGGAACAAAACTACTACTTAGGTCCGAAACGAGCCTTTCCTTTAGTAGAATAAATCCAAATAAATATCATGACAATATAAAAATAAAAATTAGAACAAAAATAAACGACAGTGGCTAATAAGGACGATGTTACTGTATTCTTTTCTGGTTCTCTGAGTTTCTGCATCTTCTTAATGACTATATTAATGACAAAGTTTAAACATATTTAATGACAAATCAAAAATTTAAAGATAAGTCTATCTTTATGCTTATCCAACGCAGCCAGCACCACGGCTACAGATTCCGGAGAGCGACGCCACAGAAAATCTACACAACCCCAAACCTCCCGCCGACGATGATTCTTCCTCAGCTTCTACCGGCGGAAGAACTCTCCCGTCGGCGAATAACGTCCTTCCGTTAGTCGGCTGCGCGTCGATGACGACACCTTCAAGCTCAGCCGCCGCCGCTGCAGCGGCGGCCGCACCGCCGTCAATCGCTCCGTCTCCCAACCTCCGCTCGACTTCGAGATACTCCCCGAGCGAAGCAGGTTTGGAGTCGCATTCGTCTCTGCAAAGCCTCCACCACCTCCGCCGTCGGCAATTCCTACGCTCCTCCTCTTCCGCCGCCGCGGCCGCAGCCGCCACCCTACTCTTCTTCGACTTCCTGTTCTTCCGAGAACTCCCCGCGCCGACGGAGCTCTCAACGTTCGATTGGCGGTTCTGAGTCATCGATGGAGCTCTAAACGTGATCGCCTGGAATGTAACTCCCATGAGCGTCCCTAAAGTTATACTCCGATCATGAAAAAATGAACCTGTAGACTGGTCACACGGCAAAACCCTAACCGTAAATTTCAAACACATTTCACATACACAATATGCAGTTAGGGAAGTGAATGATCATTAACTAGTTACCTCAGTGTCGAGATCAGAAGAAGAAACTGATGAAATTGTTGGAGAAGAAGGTGGTGGTACCAAATCACTCGCCGGATCCAACATTTTTCCTAATTGGGGCTTCAATTCTCTGGGGAATATATTACCAGTAGAAGCTATAACAAATAGTTTGAGGATAAACAGAAAGGGGTAAGGGTACAGTACGTCACCCTGAAAGTATTGTTGGGTTTACAGTGTAATTCTTGTGCATCAGTACTGGTCCTGCAAAATTGGAGGGGTGGTTAAGCTAGGGGCATACTATGCAATCATACCTTTCTTGGTGGAAGAGTGGAGCAAAAAAGTTGGAGAAGTTTGATTTTGTGTATCATAAAATTGACACTAGTTGTAAGAGATAATTTTTTTGTCTTACAAATTTGTGGATCTCAATCTTATATTTTTGGGTTCACAAAATTATGAGATAAAAAAATTATCACATACCACTAATGTCAGTTGCACGAGACACAAAATAAAATTTTCCAAAAAAGTCCGCGTTCCTATGTGTGAAAATGATCTACTTTTCTAGTTTTCACTGTTTAATCCAACAACTTTTCTGATTTCACTGTTTAATCCCACAACTTTTCTGGTTTTCACTGTTTAACCCTCCTATATAATGTGATTCTCGGCCTGTTTTCTGCTCCTCTTGTTGGTTGATGCATCACATCTCATTAGTTTTTTAAATAAAAATAAAAACTTGTCTTGTGGAGCTACAATTTACAGCTCATGATTTTGACATTAGTTTCATATGAATGATACAATGAAAGTTTCGAAATCATTAAATATAATTGGAGCTTATGGTCATGAATCATGATTAATGATCTTCAATCAGTTAATTTTGCTATTTGTTCATTTTACTCTATTAGTACAAGGTATTTTCATTGTAATACTAAATAAATTCGTGCTATAAGGCAAAGTGAAGGTTTTACTTCAAATATTGTACATATTCTATGAATATCACGCTTATCGTTATGCAAACAGGAATTTCCTAAGCAATAATTGACAGACTTATTACAACGTCAAGCATAATGTAAGTATAATAACAACAGTTAAACGTTAATTCAAATTAATTGGTATTGTTATATGGGTCATTTGTTGCCATATGTTCTATTTGTTTTTGTTAAATATGTGTTCGTTATGTGATATTGTAAACTTTTCAATAATTCATTTATATGTGATTTTAGATCTATCTTGTTAGTTTATATTTTATAGCTTCTTCAAATCGTCATCGCGCACGCCTATAAACTTGTGCAGCTGAGGACATCACTGAACCATCACACAACATTTTCCCATATTGTTATCGAATTGTGCTACTTGCACCATCAATCATATATGATAAACTAAAATATTATATATGTGAAGATTTAATTTAAAACTTGCATGTCCATATCATTTATCTCACGGATATTCACTCTTACGGCTTGGAGAACCTCTATTTAAATAACTAGTCTCAGTATACATGTGTTGCATGTGTATTGTATGTCAATCAATAAAAAATAAATGAAAAAATAAATTTAAATTTGCATGTGCATGTGTATGTATTGTATCGATAGAAATTGATATCGAGATAAATACAATATTAATTTAAATAAAAAAATAAATATTATTACATTGACGTACGCAACAACTTGGATTGGAACAAATTCTATGCAATGACTAAGATATCGTCCACCATCACTAAAAAGAAAACCACAAGAATGAGTATATTGGGTTGGGGGAGAGAGCAAAAAGACTTATCTGAGTACAAAAATAAATTATTTATAATTTTAACCATGACAAAATATTGGAAAAATTAACTCATAATTAACTCATGTTTCAAGAGATATCAAAAAGAGGAAAAAGGATAAATATCGTCTTTAAAGAATAGTTCATTGAAGAGTAAAAATTTATCCTCTCCACCAATTAATCACCATCTCTTTTCCCCAATCTCCAACTCTCTTCGATCTGTTCTCCTATAAATATAATTATTATAATATTGAAAAGAGAACCGATTTATATAATCACTAATCACAAAAAAAGAGTGGTGAAGATTAAGACCCACTTACTAAAGGAAAGAAAAATATTTTTTTAAAAAAAGAAAAAATTGACACAATGTACTGAATAAAAGAACTTAAAAAGTCCACATTAAACCACAAATATTCACCAAAAATTCAAACAAACAAATATAAATCAATATCATTCTCATAACTATCTTGAGTATATGCATACAGAGAAAAATGGACCATTTTCTTGAATAAGTCATGTGAAATGGAACAGAAATGCTAAAATTAAAACAAATATTCGTATAAAGAAAAATAATATTGAATTAACAAAGATCTTTTATAGATAAATCTTAAATTCGATGTCTAACCAATTTTCTATTATGAATCGTAAAGGTCCAACCAACATATAAAAAAATTGTAAATTAAGCCAAATATAAAAGCCTCTCAGGTCTAAAACATGAAAACAAATCAATGCACCATTCAAATACAGACAACCAAACCAAGAGGAAGGTCTCTTAAATATCTAAATAGAGAAATCGTACAATGGAAAAAATTAAAGCAAGGATTAATTGCTTGCTTCACTATTAAATAATGGTTATTATTTTTCAATTTGATTTTTTTGGGCTTTACAATCCATGATATAATGGTAAAAATTGCACGGCCCCCTGTTTGGTCGCCCCCATTTAACCTATACTCATTTTTTTAAATTTTTTTAACTTGTACCCATTTTTTAAATAACTCCAGTCCCCTTTCTCCTCCTCCTTGCTTTGCAACTCTCTCGAATCATATATAGGAGAATCTCAACTAAGAACCTTAGGACGTTCTTCCCATGGAGTGATACTATATAAATGAACACTTTCTTCCTGGTCTCTCAATTACTAACAAAGGAATTGACAGATTCAAACAAAAATTAAAGAAATGCAAGATTAATGGAGGATTCGTGTCTTTGTCATTGCCCAAGTGGCTTCTTTATCTTCATAAAGGATACATATTATCCATAGAGATCTGGAGGCGAATAACAATATTCTTCTAGACGGTAATGAACCTCAAAATATCAAATTTTGGATTGTCGCATGTTTTTGGTGGCAAAGATTCAGAAGCTAAGACAAATCGAGTTGTTGGAACTTAGTTGTTACAACCCATATACACATGTGTTAGTTCATGCCATATATTAGTTAACATAAATCCAAGAAGGAATTATTTTTGAGATGATAAGAAGTCAATCCTATTGGTCTTAAGTGATACAAGAGTGTATAAGGGTGATTAACAAGTATTAGAAGTTAAATGAATCAAGGATGTTGTAACTCGTATTTTCAAGTAATCTAGCGGTGCTTAATACACTCAAGAGTTCATTTATTAAGGTATTTTAATCATATAATATCTGTATCATAAGTCTTGAAGTCAAACGAGTTATGAAACAAAAGTCGACAAAAGTTGTCGCAACTTAGGTTCATAATTTTACTTAAA